AAAGTAGTAGTGATAATTTAGGGACAATGAATTGACTGCTCGACGGTGAAGAGAGAGATCGATTCTTGTATCAGATGAATAACTTTACGTTGAACGTGATCAAAAAGTGATTGCAGTATTTCAGTTTAGGGCGAATCAGGGCTTACTTACCTTGGAGATATACTCGAGTGGAGAATTATCTGAGGTGGAAAAGATAGTCGATCTTGTGCATAGAATGAATTTCACGAACTGAGTAACTATGATGTCGAAGATGTCAAGGCTAGTCTTACTGGTTTTCATTACACTTTCGAGTTCCGACATAGTATCAGTTGTGATTGGCATATTAGGCAGTCATCTTTCTCGCACATCAATTTACCAATACTGACCCGTATTTTTGTTTCCTTACCGCTTTTTTTCCCAGGTCCTAGTCGTATTTCGTTCTCATTGCAGCGATTCGTCCGACATTACTTCCAGCCGTATAGCATCCAAGACACAGAGCAATCGGATTTCCATTCAGCGCCAGACACGAACACATTTGTTAGCCTATCTGATTTGGTTGAGTGCCTCGGCAACGTCATCCGTCAGTCGCACACCGCTTGCAAATATTCGAGATGAATATCTCAAACTGGTTGGTGTGACCGCATTCCCGGAACTGTTTATTGAGTGTGTAAGACAATTGAAATCGTCCTCATCCACATCGGTCGAATTACGGATTGGCCTGTGTCAGCTGTGTTGCCTGCTCATGCACCGCATTGCTACCGTTGTATTCTACTACATCTCAAACCATGGTGGTAATCAGTCGCAACAAGTAGCCTGGAAACCGATCGCATCTAACTTACCCACCTGTCTTAGTTCCTTGATCGAGATCCTACGCGAACCAATCCCCCGCACCGGGCATCGTTTGCGCCAAATTGCCCTGGCTGCCCTGGGCGAAGTGCTTACTTGTGCCATCTGTCTCCTGACGAGCTCGGTTCAAGAGGCTGAGGTCACCGGTGTCCGAGAAGGTCTTTTGACTGAAATTCAAAGCAGTCAGTGGCAAACGGTTGTACATCATCTGTTACGCTGTCTTACACCGGCTTCGTCTCCTATGCCACCATCCCCTGGGGTTGATACACCGTCGCCCTTGGACAATCTAGATTTGAACGGGATTGAGAATCGTACGAACGGCACTTCTGCTGGTCAAACAAACGCAAACGCTAGCGAAACATCTGCAGATGGAACCTCAACAACCGGTTCAAACACGTCGACCACCGCTCGCGTAACCGAAGCTCACGTACGGTTGAGTGCTGCTCGGTCGTTGGACGCTTTTGTGACTGCTGTTTTAGGTTGTCGTTTACATGATCTGTCAGTTACTGGCTCATTGTTAGCCTCGGCCACCGCTTGTTTGCAAGCTGTTACAACTACGGATGTGGTGCGTCATTTGTGGACCAGTGGCGTGATTGAAGTCGGTACGTCACGTCAAACATCTGGCGTGTTGCAGCGCAATCAGCTGCATCAAGAAATCAGTCTGTCTTGTGCGAGCGCGATGGCAGGGATCATTCGCATCAATCCAAGTTTGTTCGCCTCGGGCCTAATCGATAGGATCGGATCGAATAATTTTGTGAATGTCATTGAGCCACCCGCCGGTGGACCGGCCTGTCAACAAACCAGTTTGGTGGTAAGTTTTGGTGAGGTGATGCACTTTTTGTCATCTGTACCGACCTTTACGGATATGCCTTCATCTTCGTCCAGTTTGTCATTCCGCCGTTGTGAAACCTTTCAACCAGACCTCACTCTAGAACACTCATTCATGGGGTAGTAATAACAGTGCACATGCGAGTCGAATCAAGAGGAATTTAGAGGCAATATGACCGAATGGTGTTGAAGCAAAGTGAACAATTTAAATAAACCTACAGAAAGACTCAGAGTGTTTAGTATCGTTAGCTTCAAACTGGAGAGTGAAGAGTAAAGATAGTGCTACGAGTTCAGTTCGTCACCTTCGTGCGGCGGTTTTGGTTGCCGTGTTTTGGCCGCTAATTTTGAGAGAGTGGAGGCAAGAAGTAGACACCGGGATAATCACGCACGGTGCAGCTAAACCAGATTTGCGGAGAAATCAAATAAATTCTCTATAAAGACACTTGAGTCACATTTTACTCAGTGTTTTGTGATGAAAATACGCTACGTTATATATATATATATATATATATTAAGTGCATTTTCCTGCAGAGATTTCGGTTGTCGTTTTTGGGATAGTCAATTGATCGAAATGGGAGCTGGGAGGAGTAGAAAGCTGAAGTCAGTACCAGAGTAATGAAACACAATTCCAATGCACTGAATTCGCTTATAAAAACAGTAAAAGCACGAGCTCCACTATTTTCAACACAGCTTTCTTTAACCATAGATCCGACCGATCCTCAACCGGGGTAACTAACGCGACCCCAGTTGACCAAGTTTTCAAACCCTCCCCAAGATACTATTGGTTCCCCCCCCACTATCTCCCTCGGAAAACATCACACTCTGAAGAAGCATATCTGCTGGCATGCGTATTCTGTGGAAACAGAACACGTGGTTATGTGGTTGCTGAATATCCACCTCTTGGGGTGTATAAAGCCATTCTTTGACTTGACGTGCTCCGGTGTGCGACCGCGATTGTTTCCATTCTTCGACTTCGATTGGATTCCAGAATTGACTGAGTAATTCAGCGTGTCGTTGACTGGGGTCGAGAAGAGCGTCGCACTTCGGAGGTCGATGTGCAGGTGTCGTTTAAATGGATCTAAGAGTGTTGGTTCCTGGCAAATTTAGTGCTTCACTTTAATAGACATGGTCAGGATCTGATTCGTAATTAAACGAGGCCCATCTCTACTGGTGTTGACTAGTGAGAGCGGTGGTCTTGAATGTATCTCCCCTTACTGGTAGCTGATAGCAACGTGGTCGATCAGTGTGCATTGTTCAAAAGTGTAAGGGGTTTTCAATGTAAGGTGGTACCATTTTTCGTGAGAGAGAGGTTGATACTGTAGTGGGCGATCTCGGTTTTCCGTTCGGTCGGCTGAGATGGCATATGAGCCACTTAGGTAGGTCCGTCCAGAACTCCTACTTGAGCGAAGAACTTAGTGCCTATAATTGCGATTCCCCACTCCTCATCAGTCGAGAGAGTACATCTGGGAAATCTTCTTCACTTCTGACGCACCGCAATCCGTCTGTACATATACGGACACGGGGACTAGGCAGCCACGCTTTATTTGGTTACTGTCAACCACTACTATATCAACGAAACGTGGAGCGCCATCATCTGCTAGCTAGAATCCACTCAAACTTGACACTTTACGCAGTTGTGAAGTCGGCAACGCGGTCAGCGTTAGATTTCAAATCGTCTGACATGCGGAAAGTCAAGAGTAAAGATAAGATTGGGTACCAAAAACACAGTACATTCATTAAAAATGGAAGCTTGTTATCTGATCTAGTAGTGTGCGGATATTCACCCAATAAACTGTTCCTTGTATTTATTCACTGGAGTGATCTTATCAGGGTCCAAAGTGGATAGTTAAAAGGAAAGCCAGTTGATGTCCAATAATCTTTTCTTATGCGAATAACCTTCCTCTGGCCTTGGTTGATTAACTTTTCAAGCACAACTTAATCTGCGGTTGAGTAGAATCATCCCGTATAGGTCCTTGGATTATACAGGCACGCAAGCTATCACAGCAAGATGCAACCCCCTTTGTACCCCATCAGGTCCGTTAACTTATCCAAAGCAAAAACATTCATGTTTCGTTAAATTCATTCAGTTAAAGCACTGCGTCGTCATCCGCTTTGGAAGATCAAACGACTAAACCGAAATGGAGTATGTTTAGCAGACTGTGGACTCTTGATACAACCGAATTTCGTGCAACGAAATACAATGAAGTGAACTTCGTTGTTCGTTGGTTTTGATTCGTTGGAATCCAAATGCGTCTGGAAGGAATATGGGTGTGGGATCATTTGAAAAAAGGGAAATGCTTTCCATGTGGCTTCGGAGCTCAGCTGGTACAGTGTAAGCTGTACAAAGTGTATCTGGCTTACAGATATGCGTTCGCATCTCAACCAGGTTACTGGTTGTTATTCAATCATTTATCTGTTTTGTCTTTTATACGGAGTCTTTGACTCAGTGGACCGCGAATGCCTTATGGATTCGCTCCTTCGCAGAGGAACGCCACAGAAGTATGTGAACATATCGAGTTCACTGCACTCACATACTTCTGGTAGCGTAAGGGTCTACGGCGAACTGAGTTGGTCGTTCGTAACTAGCAGCGGTGTTCGTCAAAGGTACCCTCTCGTCATTCCGGTTCAATTTCGTCATGGACTAAACACTGGAGAACACACTAAGTGGTCTCCACACGTAGTTATTGAATGGGCAGCTGGAGAAAAGCTGTACGATTTGGAGTACACTGACGACATCGTTTGCTTGTTCGAATGTGTGGAGGATGCACGAAGAGCGCTTGACAGATTAGCAAGTTCTGTCGCTCCGTTCGGCATGTGCTTTGCGCCTTCAAAGTACAAAGTGATGCTACAAGACTGGGTGTCGCCGAGTTCCGTTCTGAAAGTTTAATGTCAGGAAATAGCTGAAGTTGACTGCTTCTCGTATTTGGGTAGCTGCGTGACCAACGACGGTAGCGCATCTGAGGAGATAATCGCCCGCATTTCCAAGGCTCGAGCAGCGTAAGCAGGATTGAAACACCTGTGGCGACGACGTGAAGTTGAAAAGTTGCGTCTATTGTGCCACTGTACGATCAGTTCTGCTGTACAGTTGTGGGCCATTTAATTTGCGGGTGGAAGACATCCGTCGTTTAGCAGTTTTGGACAATCGTTGCTTGCGTAGTCTGGTTCAAGTGGGATGGAGTGAGCGGGTTAGTAACCTAAAAGTTAGTCGACGGATGTTTGGGGATGCATCGAACACGAACTCGCTAGGGTTTCAATTTTAGGTCAATAGGATCCATTGGTAAGGACACGTTTCACGTATGTCCAACTATCGCCTACCGCAGCGCGCCTTATTCGCAGTGGCCGCTACAGACAGGAGAAAGCCACGTGGAGAGGAGACATGAAGAAATACATAGAGCGATTGGGTAGAGTAGGTGTCACCCGTCTTCCAGTTTAGGGTCCAAAAGACTCCGTAACCGCATTGTTGGAGACTGTAAAGGTGATGGCTGCGAACCGACAGCAATGGGGATCTTGCTATCACTTCTTATCAGACCAGAATGCTTGAAATAGTATGTATACGCACTTAGTTTGTGTACTCTGTGTTTTTACCATAGATGTTCTCTTTCTTTTCCTGTCTCTGAAATAGGCCCTATCCCTGTCGTCCTTTCACATTCTTACTTACCTTTATGCATTATGAGTTTGGCAGCAATCAATGAAGTTCCCTTCACTGTATTCCGCTTTACAATGTTGATAATGAATGAATGAATGGTTTGATACGTAACTGCCTACTGCCCTATTGGAAACCTTTACGTTTTCGCTTCAGGTACGTCTGCTGTCCATGGCCTGTTCCGGTTTATTGGTGCCACTTTCCACTCGGTCCTCCGGTCAACCGTTGAGCAGTAGTCGCGTGAAAAGATCCAGCGTTGTGGGTGCGGGCTCGTTGAGCCAAAGCCGACAGCCAGTGACTGGCACCGGAGGAGCTGGAACTCCAGCTGCATGTCGACGAATATTGAATGATCAACGATTCATGGTGGCCGTATTTCGTCATTTGAAGAGTCCACATGCGATGCTTCGTGCCAAGTCTTATCTCCTCTGTTCCGCCATTCTAACTGTATGCCCACGGGACAGTTTCCCACTGGCTTTCGATGCACATCTACCGGCCATTTTGGAACGGGATCTGAAAACAACTCGAGGCGTACAGCATCGATATTTGGATAGCCAGTCTATGGCTAATATTATCACATCTGCCACGGATGTAACGGGGTCCCCATGCATGATGTATTTGGCCGCGTGTAGTTTACATTTTGCAGACTTGTTAGTTCTACATCTGATTCCGCTAATTTGTCAACAGCTGCTCATTGCATTGGGGTGCATATCGCCACCGTCGGCGGGGACCACGCGTCAATCAAGCATGCGTACTGCCGCAGCTAATGCAGCCTCACGTCGTTCTTCACGAACCCAATCGATGTTGTGTACGACAAAAACTGGCAGTCTTTCTCAAGCCTCTAGCACCTCGGCTTTGAACAGTGTNGTGTCGGTTTTGGGTGCAATTTGACGGCGGCCCGTGCATGGCTTCCAGCGGTCACATGTCTTACTGGGCTGTTGAACACCTGTCCAACCATCAGATCGCGTCTATTGCAACCGGACAGCCGTGATGCTTTGGGTAGTCAGGAGCGACTAAATTCAGACGGACCGGAATTCAGCCTTCTGGCTGTGCTTGGACGCCTGTTGGATTTATGGGCCTCTGTGGATCCAATCAGTTCTGCGGGTAGGTTCACTCACAATTCCACGCTTTTTGTTCTTTTAGTTAGCCTAACCGTTAGACAACTTTGTTAAATGCATAAAGATACGGTCCAGAGAGTAACAAGATGAGCGAGGTAAGCTGCCCATAACAGACATGCGCTGTATGGTGTATCGATAGCTCAGTTCAGTCTGTTTGTACAACCATTAACTGTGCACTATGGTGCGTCGGTTTTGGTTGCTGTCTTTTGGCCGCCCATTTGGATG